TTTTGCTCTATTGCTCTGAAATTTTTTTCAGGGATTGTTTGATGTTTGTTCTAAAGATAGAACTACAATTAGTTAGCATTGCACAAAAATTTGTGTTGCTAATATTTAAACGAAAGTTTATGAATAGTAATTTTTTGATGAAAATTTAAGAGCGATGTGTAAAAAAACTTTTGATACACATTATTGCTCTATATTGTACCTGAAACAAGTTAAATACATTAAAGTACTTATAACCTCCTTTTTTGTACAAAAATAATTTTGAAAAAAGCAAAACTGATGCGCAAGGGACATTTTATGTATTGCTAATTTATCGTTAATTAAAAATATACTTTTAGCTGTAACTTGAAAAATAATTAACGTTTTCTTAAAAAAAATTATACACAGGCTTCTATTGAGCTTACCAATATTCAATAAAAATTTCATATGGCTAGGAGGAAAATTAAAATTTTTGGTTTTGAACGTCCATTGTCCCCTTAATAATTAAGTACGTATTAAAAGCTGCATTAAAACTTTTACCGTTAAAAGTGGTGTATGGATCGTTTTTTTGACGTTGTCTCATTTCGATTAAATAGCCATCTATAAAATCTCGAATATTGTCTGGATCAATAGTTTCTTTATGCTCCTCAAGTTTCTTCCTACAATTTTATAAACAAAAATACATAAAAAAATAGTTTATAAGACAGTTTTTAAGTAAAAATATTGTCTAATTACGACTCAAAAATGGATTCAAATTATTGACCCACAATATAGAAAAGTTACAGTATGAAAAAGTTCCAATATAACAAGTTCCAATATAAAAAAGTTACACTATAAAAAAGTTACAGTATAAAAAAGTTACTATATTAGAAAGCTACTATACTAAAATGTTACAATATAAAAAAGTTACTATATTAAAAAGTTATAATATAAAAAAGTTACAATATAAAAAAGTTGCAATATAAAAAAGTTACAATATTGAAAATATGGTCTGAATGACTTAGGCAAAAATATGGTCTGAATGACTTTTCTCAAGAAATACTTAACCGATTCCCTTCAAGTTAAAATTTTTTTTTCATTTTTTTAAAAATAATGAAACTGTTTAACTAGGTGCTAAAATTTATTCATTTGACAATTCCAGTTTTTTCTAACCCTTAGTAACTTAAATAATAAAAAAATTATAAATAATTTTGAAAATATATATAATTTTGCTTGGAATTAATTTTGTTATTGTCTGCCAAAATTTCTTGTTTCCCTTTATTAGAGCCGAAGATATGATGAAGTACGCAAAAAGTGAAATTAAGCTCAATGCATCCTAACTTTCGACCGCTGACCTGCATAAACTATTGGAACCATGTTTACCAGATTTCGGCTTTCCTCAATATTTTGAGAATAGAAATCCATTGAGAATAAGAGTTATATTTATTCAGAGATTTTACGTTTTAGTGCCTTATTTCGCATTTTTAAAATATAGTTTGTGCAAAGAATTTTGCATGTTTCAGATAAAGCACTCAAACTATTCAGATCGCATCCTAATAATCCGATCATTAGTTCAAAAAACATAGAGGTATTCTCTTTTTTTTCGCATTGTACATCGCGCCAAAATGAACGATTTCACGCTATCAGAGACAAAAACATACTTTCTCTTAAAAAAGAAGCCTTTGTCTTCTTTTTTCGCTACAGATTTGGATTTCAGATCCTCAAAATATATGGGGTAGCCGCCATGCGGAAAATATCACCCCTATTGTTGGGTTCGGAGAGCAGACAAAAGTTTCAACCCCTTAATGTTAATCTTACTTTTTGCGTATTTCGTTATATCTCGAGATTTTTTTTAAGCAAATTGAAAATTTTGCACACCAATTATACGAGTAAAATCCGTTTATCCAGAGATAATTCCATACAAAAAATAACGTTTAATATATTTATCTAATAAAAGTCGAAAAAACTTTGAACTGTAAGGTATACAATTATTTACATCATTTTAAAGAATGCAATTTCCCATAGAAAATTACAAAATTTGAGTAAAATCGGTCGTGTAATTCCCGAGAAATCGAATTTTAAAAATGCGACTTTTTTTAAAAAGTCAGTCGATCAGATATGCGATTCAGTCGGGGAAAAAAGCATGTTTATTCAGAAAAAGTTCGTTCTGGTGTCTGATTTCGTAACTTAAAATGTCGTCAACATTTGAGATTACCCCCTCGAACCATTGAGATGGAGTCCCAGAACGCGAAGATCCAATCATAGGTTTTCAGGGTGAACCAACTAAAAAAAATGGACCATCTGAAATAACTTTTAATCTAATGATTGGATTTTCACGTTCTTGGACTCAATGATTCAAGAGGGTGACTTCAAGTATGTTAATTAATGCAGCCAATATTTTGAGTTTCGTAATCAAACTCAAAAACGTACTTTCTCTGAACAAGCACACCTTTTTCTCAAAGGTTTCAAGTTTTTGACCCCCAAAATATAGGGGGTAGCTGCAATCTAACTGCGGTCCCCATAGTTTCAACAGGAGAACGATCCATAGTTTGAACCTCTTAATGCTAATTTTACTACACTTCTCCTCTCCTTGTTTCCGACTTTTTGCTCGCCAACGGATTTGTGGAACTTTGGAGATAAGGAACAACAATTCTAATTTTACTTTCCGCGTATTTCGCCATATCTAGAGAACTTTTTATGCGAATTGAAAATTTTTACACAGATTTATAAAAATTTGCTTATCTAACGATAATTACATGCAAAAGAAATTTTTTAGTAAATACTAATTATTTTTTATTATTATATTTAATAATTCGCTTAAAAAGTTCTCGAGATATGGCGAAATACGCAAAAAGAAAAATTAACATTAAGGGGTCAAACTTTGAATTGCTCTCCTGACCCAACCACGGGGACTATATTTCCCAGATTGGGAGGGGGGTCAGAAGCCCGAATCTACTGAAAAAGGGGTACGTTTATTCAGTGAAAGTACTTTTTTGTATCTAATCTCGTAACTTTAAATATCGTCTGTGCTAATTGATTAGCATATTTAAGGTCACCCCCTTGAACCATTAACATTGAGTACTAAAAAGTGAAAATACGATCATTGGATCAAAAGTTATTCAAGGTGGTCAGTTTTATTTATTTATTGCTCACTGTACACCACAACATATATACTTCTTTTTAGGACATATCTGTCTCGTTTTTTTACCCCCTTCGAAGTTGGTAAAATAGTTTTGATTTATTTTTTCTAAAACTACTAATATCTTTACTCACCAAAATAAACTATGTGACCTTCGGAATGCTTTAACTCCTTCGTCATACTTCAACATTTTCAAAATGAATGGGAAATGTCGAATCCAAGGAAAGAATATGTGCGATGCCGTTTGACCAATAATTTTGATCACATCGTGCAATCCAGCATCCAGCATCTTTCTCTCCGGATCATCATAATCGTACCTTTTTCCAAATGCCAACGAACAGATATTGTTGGACATACTGGAGGTTAATGGAATGTTAAGGTTCATTGGATCTCCCCGGTATGTCTTCAGAATGTTGATGAATTCTCGAATTTCTTCCTAAAAAAAGATTCAGAATATAATACAGCAGGCCTATAATTATTTCCCACTAATAGGCCCAAAATTATTTCCCACTAATCGACCTATAATTATTTCCCACTAATCGACCTATAATTATTTCCCACTAATAGGCCTAAAATTATTTCCCACTTATCGACCTATAATTATTTCCCACTAATAGGCTTAAAATTATTTCCCACTAATCGACCTATAATTATTTCCCACTAATCGACCTATAATTATTTCCCACTAATAGGCCTAAAATTATTTCCCACTTATCGACCTATAATTATTTCCCACAAATAGGCCTAAAATTATTTCCCACTAATCGACCTATAATTATTTCCCACTAATAGGCCTAAAACTATTTCCCACTTATCGACCTATAATTATTTCCCACTAATAGGCCTATAATTATTTCCCACTAATAAGCCTAAAATTATTTCCCACTAATCGACCTATTATTTCCTCTCACTAATAGGCCTATGATTATTTCCTCTGGTAGGTCCTACTAGTACCCTGTAATATAATACGTGGCCCAGTTTGAATATTATGGGTCAATATTAAGGGGAGATACAGGGCCACGTAGTAATGCAGAATATTAAACTCGAATTTTTTCATTTTAAAGCTATTCATTACACTATTATACATATATTAACAGAAAAAATGGCAACATGCACTTTCAGGAGAAAAAAATTTTACCGTACATTTTAGTGTCAAAATTAAAATTAATTTTTTACGAAAATCAGAGGTTCGATTATCGGTAACAAAGTCATACATACATTGATAGATGCATTTTAATAAGTATGCAATATGTATGTTTATGTATATATGAAATATGTATGTTTTAGATAGTTATGTCATTTTTCCCCTTTCAAAAACTATGTTTAATATGTTATATTTTATTATGCTTTTTCTTTCCTCATATTTTCAGTACATGTAAAGTTTTTTTAGGAACAATACTTTAGGTTAAGTTTTAAAAAAATTCGAGTAAAAAAAGTTAAGAGGATTAATTCAATAGTATTTCAAAAGCAAAAACACAATGAAACCTTTTTAAACATTTGATAAAATTTTAAATTTAAACTGCTGAGTTCCACAAAAAAATTGCCTTCATTTCCATCTAAATAACTCGAAATTCTACACTTCTTAAAAGATTTTACAATAACATTATTCGAAAGTAAATATGTCAAATCAAGAGAGAAGAATGTGAAATAATTTTAAATTGAGAAATATTTATTGACTTAATATTTTTATTGTGTATTTTACTTTTATAATACATTTTTTATTTTTATTATGAATTTTATTTTTATTATGTATTTTATTTTTATTATGTGTTTTAATTTTAAAACTTTTACACTTAGTTTTCTCAGCAATCGACTTATACACCCAACATACTGAAAATTGTAAACGCGTTATCAAAAAGAAAGGGTCGACATGTATAACGGGATGACTTACAAAACGACTCATGCACCGGTCGACACATATACCGGTGTATACTCTACTAAACTATTTGTTCTTGTAGTGTTATTTAGACTGATACTTAGAAAATCAGCAAATATTGACTAAAACTGAAACAAACTTAGTTAAATAACCTGTTATCCAAATCTGAGGAAATATTAACAGAGGGCAGAGGATATCCTCCTGCAATCAAACTGGTTTTTATATTTTTAATTTTGACTTTCCTAATAAGAAGTCGGATCTAATAAGAAGTTCCTACTAAGAAATTTTAAGACTTCGGTAACGTTCTTTGTTCCTTCGTTAATATTAGTATACTATATCTATATGCATACCGGGTGTTTCGCAATGAAATCCCTTAATACATACAACTCCAATGTTTTCCACGAAAATGTAGTTTAAAAAGACCTATCACATTAAGAATTACAGAATAATATTTAAATGAGATAAGACGGGGAAAAACTTTTTCAAGTCCTGATTAGTGGAGTCAATAAGAACAACAGTGGGATTAAAATTATCTAAAATCTGTTTATTGGAAATGGGACTGAAAGGGTTAGTACCTAGTTATTGTTAGAACCTTCAGAATGAGGCTCTAACGAAAATCAAGCGTATTTCAGTCCTATTAGGTTTACATTATTTACAAACCGGTTTCTCACTATTTTAATCCTTTTTTCTTTCTGTTCTTATAAACCTGAGTAATTATTTAGCTTAGTTTGTAAATAGTTATTTTATTTTATTTTATTGCCCTTTTCAACTTAAATCAACTTCTTCAACTTAATTCAATTCAAATCTTTATTTGGTTGATTATCAATGTTTATAATCAGGTTTCAATCCCCCAATGACGGATTAAAGCTCACTTAAATTCAGATGGATGAGTACAAGCTTGCCTGTGAAATAAAGGCGGTCGGTGAGCAATGCTTTCCAGATTAAATCATCACATCGTTGGTCTCGAAATTGCGGATCCTTAACCTCCATGACCTTATTGTCGACTACTGACTGTTGTAAGAATGCTTTGCTTTTTGTTTAGTTCGATATTACTTTGCGACTCCTTACGTGTATATTTACTCCATTTTTACAAAATAGTTAAAAATATATAGAGCCCACTGTGTATATTTATTAAATATTTATTATTATTATAAATGAAATGAGCAATAAGGAAATGAAAAGTAAATATGAAAAAAGAAATGAAAAACGAATTTTTTTCAGTAACGTCTGTAGGCTTGATACATAGTTTTATGAGGACTTGTTTTGACTGATCTGTCGAAGTAAAATCAAAGCAAATTGTAGTTAACTCGAAAATTTATAAATAAAAGGAAATTTTATAAAATAGTTTTTTATTAATATTTTTTTTGAATTGTGCATAAGTATTTTATTAAAAGTTTAAAATACATGTTAAATTAATATTTATATTCAATAAGTTCATTATTAAGCTATCAGTTTAGCTTTTTATATTATGCAACTTAACAAACTATTATGTGCTTGTTTTCCTTAAAAAAAAAAAAGAAATAAAAAGAATATATAAAAAATAAAAAAAATAAAAGATGGGAAAGAAGTATGAAACAAACTACTTTAAAGTGTTGGATATATACACTTCATGTATTTCTACCTGAATTTGTCCTTCGATTTTCGTTCTTCCAAGGCCCAAGTTCTTCAGAGAATGAACTACAAATCTTCTTTGATCTTGCCATATTCTAACACCACTAACAAAAAAGGGACCTAAAGGCAAATAAACCTTAAGTATCTGATAAAGGAAATATAAAAAGGATAATAAAGGAAATATAAATTAATTTGCAACTTTGATTTATTGCTGTTTATTTATTTAAGCCATTTATTTTATTTATGTAGTTATTTCATTATTTTTTTATTTACTCATTTATTATCGGAAGTCAACTACGATATATGTTCAAATATATATTTGTTTACAAAATACATAAATTTATAAATAGTTACACACAAATATTATACGCAGATTTTACATAGATATATTATAGAATTCATATATACATACAAATACATAAATTTATACTTGGAATTATTTGCAAACTGTCCATAGAGTAAATTAAAATTCTTAAAAAAAATCAAATGCTAAAATTAAGTAAAAAAATTCTAAAGCTATGTTTGTTAATTGAACTAAAAATGAGAAAATAATTATGTTTTTCTAAGGTCAGAAACAAAATCCGTTGGTCATATCATTTTTGAAGGACGTAGAGAAAGAGTAGTAAGCGTTTATATGCTCCCTGTGGTTTTCGTTTTTTATCTGACAGAAACAGGAATATTTTGTTCTTTTTTGTCGTCCAGTTTCAAAACATGATTTATGAAATAACTTCATTATACATATATATATATATATATTAAATAACCTGTTA